AATAATTTAAATTAAACATACTAACCTTAAATGCTCGAAGAGTTGAAACCGTAGCAAACAGTTCGAGTCTATCAGACTAAAACTGAATTTGTCGAAAAGGTGACATGGAGTCGTTAGAAAATGTAATCTTTCACTGGCTCCAAATCATTCAAGTGGGATGTCAAAATCCAAATGAAATGCGAAACAATAATTACATTTTACCTTGTAATCAAGGCATATATGGTTGATACTTTCATTTTTTAGAGAGTCAATAAAATATATGTTAGGATATCGAGCTTGATGTCTTTAGAGATATATTTGGAAGATATTGATGTGATACAGATATATGGTAGATATTTCGTAAAGATTTGATAAATATATATTAGATTATATCAGTAGATTAAATCTTATATTTAGTAAATTGAAACCATATATATATATATTGTCTTCAAAACCTTATTCTATCTAGTTATACATACCATCAATAATAAAAAATTTAGCCAATATTTCTTCTTGAATTTTCCCGTGTGAAATCTTAATCGAGTGTGTAAGTTGATAAGTGATCTTAACCATTGGTATAATGAGTAATTGTATAATTTGAAATGAGTTAAAATACTTATTATTTAATTTCTTGTATCAATATGGAAATGTAAATGAAAACTTACATAAATATGATTATGATTGCGACGTTTTTTATTTATGACTGTACAGCTTGGCGTTCAGTATTATTGTCTGCCCACCCTCCCCAACCGCCCACCATAAATACTCCCCACCTCTCTAATTAATCTACATTTTCTTATGCAACCATTTAATTCATATTCATATTTTGTACATTTTTAAACACCTAAATTAATAAAAATCATTACTACTTTTAAAACTTTAATTCATATATTTAATATTTTTGAGGTTTCAAAATTTTAATAAAATACCTTTAAATTTTTTAAAAAAAGTTAAAATATACCCTTAACGTTAGCATATGAATGAAACCACTAGTAGCACGTATAAAAAATACTTACGAACTTTCAAAGTAACATTCATTACGGAAAATTAAAAAGTTTTCAAAGTAACATTCATTAGGAGGAGTTAAATACAAAATAGTTTACAAAATATTACAAGATCTGCAAATACTCCGGAAAGATACACCCATATACGAATGACAATGTTGTGATGAAGGCCATGAAACATGTACTAATTGCGTTTATGTTTGTTTAGTAGCGCCTAAGATAGTTCACAACTTATTTATTTTATTTAAATTATGATATTAATCTTCTCTTAGAAAGGTATTTGATTTTGAATATTACTGAAATTGACAATTTTATGAAATATTTAAAAATGAATGTTTTTCATATACATTAGTTACATCAATCGTTTATGTAGTAGTGACCTATTTTTAACTAAAAAAATTGGGCAGTTACAATCACTCCTTAATGTTGTTATTACTGTTAAGAACTCAACTCTTAATGGTTATACAACTACTACGAAACGCCACATATTGATCTTCAACACCACAATGGTTATGTGTGGACTTATGGGCCATAGTGATTAAATTGAATTGAGTATCATCCTATAACATATAAAGCCATAACATTAATGCAAACACTCATAAAGCAATATTATGATTACTCATTTGTCCTAAATCTCCTTATTTGGTTGGCTGAAGTCATAGTCACTCAATTTCTTTGGCGCTGACCTATTCCTACTCCTTGAAGTATGTTTGCACTTAAGAAATTCTACGACATTGGGTTGCATTTAGGGTTATCAGTCTAACCAACTCGAACTTTTGGATTAGTCCAAAAAATTTACTCAGCCCAATTCATATACCCGAGGATCAAAGAATAATCATTGTAGCCAACCATAGAAAAGCTAAAGTTATACTCTTTCCGATTGAAAAGAAGGGTAGATAAATGTTTGAGATTCTTGTAGGTTTGGATAATAGTTGGACCCAAACCAGCAAAACATAGATGAGCTATTGAGTATCATTCAAAAGCAAATGGTCTTTGTGCCCTCACAACCCTTTGCATCTCCCTCCTCCCTAGTTGTGGTCGCCATTATTGTAATCCATTGATTCAAAGGATTATTTGTAATCCTTCTTTTGTTCATGAATCTAGGAAGATCGGTCAACATATCTTTTGGAGAAAAAGCTCATTCGTTCTAGATAGCTTACATCTATAGCAATGGGACACATGAGTATTCATTCATGTTATTATGGCTATGGCCTATAAGTCCTCGCATACCCATAGTGTAAATATAATTCAATTTAAAATTCGGATTTGATATCTTATGGTCTCGACATTCCTTGTGATATGGTCACGTTGCTTATTCCTCGCGTCTAAGAGTGAAAACTATCCCCATATGGAGACCCATGATCATTTTCTAAATTAGCCGACGTGGGACTTTCATTCAACACCTCTACAAAGTACGCCATTTGAGGATTCTACTAACATGACTAAGTTTAGAGCATGACTCTAATACCATGTTATATGAACACGACTCTCCACAATGATATGAGATTGTCCACTTTGAACATCAACTCTCATAACTTTGCTTTCGGCTTCCCCAAAAGGCCTCATACCAATGGAGATAATATTATTTGATTATAAACCCATGATCATTCCTTAAATTAGTGGATGTGAGACTTTCATCCAACAGTATTAGCCCTAGGACAGACAAAGTATAGAAAAACAGTCCTCAACTTTCAAATCCGATTTGTTCACGACATTTTTTTAAAGTAATGAGTCCAACGAGTCCAATCAACTTAAATCGAACCCTAAGTTAATGGAAATGTTAATTAAATTCTTGAACATATGCGACATTTTTGTATTTATGACTGTACGGCTTGCAATTCAGAATTATTGTCCATCCATAAATCCTCAACCATACACAATAAATACTCTCCTCTTCTCCAATTAATGTACATTTTCTTATGCAACCATTTAATTCATATTTATATTTTACTTTATCAACTTTTTATGGTGTGAGAGTTAATATGTGAAGCTACAAGTTCCAATATCAAACCTTTAGTCAATAATATATTTTTTTAAAAAAAACTTTTCAAAGTTTTAATAATAAATTTAAATCTTAATAAAAACTATCATTAAATTTTACAAAAATTTCGAAACTAACTCTACTAACAAAATGAAAATATGCTTGTACTTAATCTTTTTGAAAACTTAAAAAAAAAAATCCTTTGAACATTTAAAAAAAAGTTAAAAAATATATGTTAGCATATGAACGAAACTATTAATACCATGGTTAAAAAATATTCATGAACTTTCCAATTTTTTTTCAAGATAACCTCTCATCTTTTCAAAAATACCTTTAAATTTGAGGATAGTTAAGGGTTTTGGTTTAGCCAAATGACTTGGATGTTTGACTCGAATGGTTTGACCAATAAGATTTACCCAAAATATCTCGAAGATTTTGAGGAACAAGATGCCAAGCGAATGCTTTCCCGCATTTGGTTTGTGGGGTTTCTAAAGTATGGAAGACCAAAGAATGTAGAGGATTTGCAGAAACATACCTTCTTCATCCTATAGCTCTTGCAATTGTCCTCTATGGATTTGGAGGGCTTCCATTTGTTGTTTGGGGAATGGTAAGTATTCATATGCCTAAACAGAAGAAAAAGGAAGCACTGAAATTAAATGGTTTCTTCAATAGAAACAAATGCTATAATAAATTATAAACCATTGCTTTCAATTGTTGGCTATTATAATTAGACATTCAAGAAGGATATGGTGAGAAAATTGATTAAGAGTTTGATGGTGAATGGCGATGGCAGGGAGTGAGGCTTATTTGTGTGCTGCACGCTGCTTTCTTCGTAAACTCAGCATGCCACATCTGGGGCTATCGAAAATGGACCACCAATGATTTGTCAAAGAACAATTGGTAGTGTCAATTCTTCTTCTTAATTTTTTTTTTCATGTGGGTTTGAGTTAGATTATTAATCTTTCGGTTTTAAATGTGTAAATTTGTTTTCAATTAGTGTCTAATTCATCTATGTGATACTATAATAAAAGAGAATGGTATATGCAACCGTCCAAGTCTATTCTTAGTAGATATTGGATTTTCCCTTTCGGGCTTCAGCTCAAGGTTTTAAAACGCATTTGCTTTCCCTCTCCAATCGAGGTAGGATCTCACATTCCACCCCCCTCTCCCTTTTGGAGCCCAACGTTCTCTCTAACACTCTTTAGCCAAGTTCAATTGATGTGGAATCTTACAATCCACCACCTTTAGGGGACCAGCGTCTTTGCTGGCACACTGCCTGAAAGTTGGCTCTGATACCATTTGTAAGAGCCCAAGTCCTCCACTTAGTGATATTTTCCTATTTGGGTACTTATCCTATACACAGGTTTCCACGTCTTTATAAATAATGTTTTGTTCCTCTCTCCAATTGATGTGAGATCAATAGTATATGAATGAACCAAGATCATATCCAAATGAGAGCGATCTTGAAAATAATATGATTAATTTTTTTTTAAAAACTGAGAGTTACTTCCTATACTAACATGGTGTACATTTCTCTTCAATGACTTCATAAAAACTCCGAAATTAAATGTGTTACATTTAGATAACTCTAAACTAATTTCTTATTTGATATCTTGTTCAATTAACGTTGTGTGTTTATACGTTGACACAGGGTGATTGAGTTGGTGTCGTGTGGGGAAGGTTGGCATAATAACCACCATGCTTTTGAATACTCTGCTCGACATGGACTTCAATGGTGGGAATTTGACTTCACGGGTTATATTATTACTTCAAGCTCTTGGTTTGGCAACTGATGTGAAATTACCCTCTCAACTTTATATGCAAAAGTTGGCCATCTAAGAGTGTATGAATCAGCATACATAATAGGTATGAATCATGCGTATAAATTTCGTCAAATCTTTCTTATGTAGCATAATTTAAATGGAGTGGTGTGTGGAGGTTTGTGCATCATAGATTAATAACATGATAATATCATTCTACGATATGACAGTTACTTTGTAGCATAGCTTATAAACATGATATAACTCCACATAACATAGCATAACAAGGCATAGCATAGTATAGTGTATCATAATGTAAATTTATGCCTACAATTATATTATAATAATCGAGACTAATTTATATGGGCATTTTCTTATAATCCACATTATTCCACATTATTTTTAGAAGCATAATTATTTCCATACAAAGCATCAGTCAAAATATAGGGTTCTTTTAGTTAATCTTTGGCCAATTTTTGCATAAGGGTTTGAGATGGCAATTTGACATGAGTAGCCACTCCAATGGCTTCAAGAAACACAATAACATGTCAAATTGCCACCATTCAATGCCCATCCTAGCTGAATACTCAAAAGCATGGTGATTGTTGTGCCAACCTTCTCCAAATGTAAGCAAATTCACCACCCTGTGGAGGATAATGAATAGCAAAATATTTTTCTATGGTTAATATAGTGTTGATCCATTATGGAAAGACTATACACAGTTACCTAAGCAGGTAAGTTAGATAAAATATATTTGTAATTTTGATAGGTGTGTCCATACCAACCTAACTTAATAGATAAGACACCAATCACTATCTTAAAATGGACAGTTGAATATTCTATTTTTGTGGATTGAAATTAAGACACAAAAGAAAAATATTATTAAACGAAATAAAAGCTCATGCAATAAATAAGTTTATCATATTTTACTCCAAATTGATTTAAAGATTGACTCAAGATACATACCGATAAATTGTTTGTTTTCCACGGTCGTTTTTCCCACATGTGACATATTGAATTTGCCGAGGAAATTGCATGTAAATTCATTACGGTTCTCATACACTGCCTCACAAAAACAAAAGAATAATATGTCACATTTGGCAAATTATCATAAACAAATGAAGACTGGAAATTTTTCCGAGTCAATGAATTGATGATGATATCTATGCATATTCACCTAAGCGATTGGATTGCCCTATTTAAAAAATATATAAAATATTTAAAACATAACATATTAATCAATTAAAAGTAAAAGAAAAAATGAGTTAAATGTCAAACGTGAAAGGCATGAACTCCACACTAAGCAAACAAGTATTCAAGCCATTTAGAAAGTTTGAAACTCTTATGTGAAAGATTTTGATAATACCAAAGAGATCTGTAATAATATATAGGATAATACAAATCGAAATGGCAGCCTTATTAATTTGAAATGGTGCGAAAACACAAAGTAAATGCAAAATGAATATAAGAAGAGCCAATTTTTTTTTTTTTTTTTTTTTTTTTTTTTTTTTTTTTTTTTTTTTTTTTTTTTTGTCTATCTTGGTTCCTTTTCTCTTCCCCAATGACAATGGAGGTTCTACCATTCTCTTTGGTTGTGTTGGTGCATCCATTCGCGTGGGGTTGCTCTAGTTGAGGAAGCCTTGCCACCTCTTGCATACATATTTATAGTGCAATTCTAAATCACAATATAATACTTTAAGGCTCTTCCTAGCTTATTCAAGTGCAATAGATATAGGTTAGATGAGGAAAATATGCCTAATTCAACATGGTCCATTATGATTATGATTATGAAAAGATAGATAATTCATAGCAATAATAATATTAATAACAACAATAATAATGAAAAAATAATCCTAATTTATTAAACATTTGAAATAACTAACCTAAATTATTATTTTCAGTTTTTTAAACGTGAATCTTGTTCCATTTTTTCTTCCCAAATGACGTTGGAGGCTTCACTACCACCTCTTGCATATGTATTTATAGTGCAATTTTTAAGTCTCAAATGTAAAAATTTAAGGGTCTTCCAATTAAATGTATATATTATTTAACTGCAATATTGTTAGAAATCACGAATCTTCACACGGTGGTTTGCTTGACTCTTCACAATGATATGATATTATCCACGTTGAGTATAAGCTCTCATGACTTTGTTTTGAGTTTCTTTAAAAGGTCTCATAACAATAGAGATAGTATTCCTGACTTATAAATCCATAATCTTCCACTAAATTAACTAATGTTGGACTCATTTCCAATAATCCTCAACAAATATAATCTTGATTAGGAGAAGATGGATAGATAGATACATGCAGTTATATAGTAGTATAGTAGTAGTTACAATAATACTTATAATGACACTAATAATGATAATTTATTACGTTTAAAATAATTATTTTCACTTATTTTTAAAACAACTATATAACAACACATTATTGAGTAAGCAATGATGTGAGATTCCACATTGGTTGGAGAGAAAGACGAAATAAGGGTGTACCTAACAGACAGTTTTAAAAACTTTGAGGGGAAGTTCGAGAGGGAAAGCTCAAAGAGGATAATATCTACTAATGGTGAGCTTGACTGTTACAAATATTAATGTAATGTCCCCTTCCAAATTGGAGTTAATTATAATAACCCGAAAAAAATAATAATAATAACAACAATAATAATAATAAATAAAGAAATAAAAATAATTAAAAAAATATATATACGTTAAAATAATAAAAATAATAATAATTCATAATTAAATAACTAAAAAGATTACTTAAAAATAAAAATAAAAATGAAATTTACCCACCTCTCCCCACTAACCTATAGTTCCAATACTATCCTCTTTCCTCAACCCCATCAGATCACAGTTCATCCAAAAATAAACAGAAAAAAATGTCAAATTTGGGAAAAAGTAAAATGGCTTTCAACAATGATATGATGCTGGAGAGATTTTGGTATGCTATTACCATAAAATCCTATCTCAGATTTCCTTTTTCCTTTATAGTTATAGTTATGGCTTTCAACAAGGATATGGTGCACATCTACTGGAGAGATTTTGGTATGCTATTACTTAAAATCCTATCTCAGATTTCTTTTTTCCTTTATATTATAGTTATAAGAAATCAATCTAGGATTAAATCTTCTTCTTATTTTACTGATCACGTAATAAAAGTTATAGGTATTTACCCACCTCTCTCCACTAACCTATAGTTCCAACACTATCCTCTTTCCTCAACCCCACCCGATCACAATTCATCCAAAAATAAACAGAAAAAAATGTCAGATTTGGGAAAAAGTAAAATGGCTTTCAAAGTAAAATGGCTTTCAACCAGAATATGATGCAGATCTACCTGGAGAGATTTTGGTCTGCTATTACCCTAAAATCCTATCTCAAATTTCCTTTTTCTTTATAGTTATAGTTATAGTTATAAGAAATCAATTTATGATCAAATCTTCCTTCTTATTTTATGGATCAACTATAATAATCAGATCCCATATTTAATTAATTAGATTTTTTTGTTACCATTGGAAATTATAGAAATAAGGTTAGAGTCAATAAAATTTTAGTTACAGATCCATAAATGTGTAACATAAAAACAAACCATTGATTAAAATTGGCCCACAATATCTATTTATAGAATGAAAATAAATATGGAATTGAAGGAATATCTTATTTACAGAACTGAAAATCTATTTACAAAAGGAAAATAATTACAAAGAGGGAGAAGGGAAAAATAATTACAATGAGGGAGACTGGAAGATTTGTTGAACAAAATTTAAAAATGAAACACGAAATACTAGAGGCATGAAACTCCATTAAATTTTGTCTAACATGTAAATTAGAGAAACAATTTTATAGAGTTCAAACTTGAAACTAATGTCATGGGCTCATATAGGTTGACCTAGATTTCAAAGGACGGAATCGAACTTTCATTAAAGATATATTCATGACAACGACTTAAGCTAGCCAGGTAAGTGGTTCAACCGTCGTAGGTTACGCGTTATTTGTTGTATGTTGGCACGTGCCCGTAGATATGCACGTGTCATTAAATTGTATGCTAGTTTAATGTGCATAAGTACGAAATCATGTGAACGTGTATGTTATGTATGCTGCTTAGTTGATGTGATATGTTATGCATGTGACGATGTGTGGCCCTTGAACGATTATGGCTTGTTCGTATGAATATTTGAATGTAACTGCATGAATTGTATGACATGAAAAACGGTAAATTGCATGAAACATAACCTTGCTAGGAATATGTATGATATGTAAAGAAATGAGAATGAAAATGACATGTCAGCATGAAAACGTGACAAGGGGTTATGTTCATTAATGATAACTATAGGACTAGTGGGACCTCATGCATATTGTGTGTTCATGCATTTGGGGGGATACCCCTATCCCATCACGAGGGTATGGACGCGTACATTCAATGGCAGGACAATGATCGTTATGCTTTGCATAGCGTTACCGTGATGGTTCTAGTTTTAACGGGTCTCGGCATAAGGGGCTCCCAGAGTATGCCCACCGGCTAAGAACAGTGGCCCAGCGGTGTGTGAACTAGCTGGTGAGCCCATACTCGCACGTATGTGCTATGTGTAGAGTATATGGTACACGTCCACGATTACCCGTTAGGATTACACCGTAGGGAAAATGAAACGAAACGAAATGAAACGAAACGAAACAATAGGTCCCATCATTTCATTGCATGTGATTGTTGCATAACCCCAATAGGGGTCACTTACTGAGTATTGTAGAAATACTCAAGCCTCGTACTACTTTACTTTTGTAGATAAGGGTAAGATACCCAAGTGACAACGACGACGACATCGTACACCTCGAGACCGTGACACATGCATAGGATAGTCGTTTATTTTTTTTTTCCATTTCGTAGTCTAGGCTGAATTCGGTTTGCATCATTAGTATAAGTTAGTATAGGTTGAAATATATTTGCATAATAAATCATAGGATAGAATAAAACATTTATTTTAGATTTGTTGTTTTCCCTTTATTTTCAATAATATTATGTTCTTTTTCTTGTAAACGTTTTCTCTTTCACGAGGTAATAAAAGGCGACAATGGGTCGCATTTATGAATAAGACCCATTTAATGTATATTCCGCATTCCAAGGTATAGTAATGACCTCAGATTAAATAGGTAAAATATTAGGGTGGTTACATCCATTTATTTACAATGTGATGTAATATTTTAAGAGACTAATTGAAAGGGGATTATATAAGCAATATATTTTGTTTTAGAAAAAAAAAAAAGATATTAACATCATTAATTGTAATTAATTAAATTTGCTATTAGAATTAAATTATAAAATTAAAAATTTATATTTGATGCATAGTGTAACGACTTGGACCATTTGGAAGACATGTACCTCTTTAAAAGCATTTGGTAGACATGTGTTTTAACCAAACAAACTAAACACTACTAGCTTTATTTGAAAAATACAATTAATTCCATACACGGGTAGTTTTCTTAATATAAGACATTAAGTCATAAGCATCCATAGCTATCCCATGGTTAGTTCTCTCAACTCCACCAACCACTCTTTTGCTTTAACCTAAAAAAACCATTTAAAAAAATGCAAGTATTAAAAATATTGAATAAAACACTTTATCCATGTTAAATATATATGTATAGTAACAACAAACAAAATGAAGGATCAATTTTGTTTTTTAAAAAATGGGATCAATCACTCATCACCTATCTATCGGGGATTAGCTCAACCCTAATCGGTGCATAAAGACAAAGACCACAAACTATATGTTGGTGATCTGTTCTAAATTATGATTTTGGGACTCATTAGGTGGAATTAGATTTGATGGAGTAGCTTTAAGTTAGCATCAAAGAAGCTTAGTGATTTCGGTTTAGGCCAACCAATAAGTGGTTTTACTGTTGGCTTGGTTGGTTGGATGATTTGTTTGTTGTATGAATGACATATGCCCTATGCCTCCTGCATGTATCTTGGTTTATGATTGTTTGACATGTGTTATATTATGTTTATATTATGATATATGTTATGTCATGTTGCAACTTATGCAATATTATTAGTTAACCTATGATATGATTATGCTACGTCATGTAACTATGTTATATTATTGATGTTGTATGATACATAAACAACCATATGCCACACCATGTAAACTATGTTAATATGTTCACTATGCCTACGAGATGTTAGAAAGCCATGTATGTTAATCATGAAAGATATGACAAGTATTACATATGTATATCTTATAGTAACGCTATGTCAGAAAAAAAATTGGATGCATAACTTGCATAATAAGTGTGTAACGACCCAATATTTCTACCCATTTAGAGTCGCTACTGTCATCATAGCGTAATCATTTTTGTGCGAAAATAAGCATTTACAACTTCATCATAAAACATAAACTTCATCTAAAAACACTCTCATGGACTAAGGTGTTCGAAAACATCTTGAAAACGACACAACAAAATACTAAATGAAATAAATAATCATTAAAATAAAAAATATCCTATTTAGAAGAGGGATGGGTCGTTGTTACCATTTATGAATTGTGCTATATTCGGATTAGGAAGTTTTTTTCTCCTTTTGAATCTTATAACATTTTGGGATAATAATCATAAAATGAACACAAAATTGAACACAAAAACATCCCAGGTCATAATGTAAATTGTTGCATAAAGATTGATTATAATAGTAGCACCAATTTATATTGGCATTTTATTTTTATTCCACATTCTCAAACAGTTTTTTTATAAGCATAACTATTTCTATTTAAAACATCACTTAAAGAAAGGCTTCTTTTAGATACTCTTTGGCCAACTTATTCTTATGGGTTTCAGATGGCAATTTGACATGAGTAGCCACTCCAATGGCTTGAAGAAACACAATAACATACCAGCCAGGGTCATATTGCCACCATTCAATCCCCATCCTAGCTGAATACTCAAAGGCATGGTGATTATTATGCCAACCTTCTCCAAATGCAAGAAAACTCATACACCTATGGAAAAAAAAAAAAAAAAAACCACAAAAGTTTTAATAAACAGCAAAGATATAGGTCTATTATTAGTATATAAACATTGATTACTTAATAAATATATACTTTAATTATTATTTACTAGTATTGCTATGTATCTTTAAAATTAATCATGTTGAAATATCATTTTGTTTAATTCTAATTTCGTTTATGTATCATGCAATGTCTAAATTTTTACCTATACTTTTAAACAAATTTTAAATTTAACCAGGTAAATATGTTTTGAAGTTAGAGTTAATGGGTAAAATAAATTGATTATCGGGACTAAATTTATACATTTAAAAGTAGAAGAAGAGTAAAAAATAAACCTTACAAAATAATATTTTAACAAAATGATATAATATTATCATTTCATGATTATTGAATCATAGTGGAGATTTGTGATTCATAACATAGTATTAGAGTCATGTCATTTACTTAGTCGAGTTAATAAAATCTTTAATTGTTGAACAAAGAAGTTGTGAGTCTTGAATGTGTAGTCAAAAGTTGATAAATGTTATTAATTTTGATACATAGGTCGATATAAATATAATTTTGTGGATAAGACATTAATCACTATCTTGACGATCTATTGCAAAATCTTCCATTTCTGTAATAGATAGTATTATGATGAAACAAATACTCATGCAATATATGAATTTCACCCTCTTTTACTCAATATTCATAATACAAGATACATACCAATTGTTTGTAGATAGATCATTTGTTTTCCATGGTTGTTTTCCCCACATATGACATAATGAATTCACCAAGTATGTCGTGTGTAAAAGCATTACAGTTCTCACACACTGCATAAAAAAAAAAGAATGGTCACTTTTTTTTTTCTCTTTTAAGTCTAATAAAAACTATATCTAAGAACTTTAAAATCATATTTTATGGGTTTCATTTGCTTATAACTCAAACCAATTTTCCAAAAATAGAATGCTAAAGTGATTAGGAGTCTTATTTTTTAAAAATTGAAGTAAAAATTTGAAAGTAATCAATTAAATTAACAAACCATATAGATATGCAAGTAAAAGAAGTTAGATAAGCGATGACAGAGGTGATCTTTTTTACCGTTCCCCAAATGAAGTAAGAAAAGCCTCCAATGCCATAGAGTATGAGTGCAAGAGCAATTGGATGAAGAACATATGTTTGGCGAATAAACCTATAGAAAGTTTGCTTCTCCAAATCACAAGCATTATCCAATTTTCGATGCCTTCCAATCATTTCACCTATGCTTCCATTTCTCTTGTAAAGAAACCAAGTAATGTAACTAAACCAAAACCCATGGATTGGACTATGTGGATCTTGTTCAGTATCAACAAATTGATGATGATATCTATGCGTACTCACCCAATTGATTGGATCACCCTAAAATTTTATGAAACATTAAAAGAAAACACATATCTTTATATGCTTTAAAATTAACTTGTAATAGCAAAAGAATAAAGTGGGTTAAATGTCAAACCTGAAAGGCATGAACTCCACAATAAGAAAACGAGTATTCAAGCCATTTAGGAATTTTGAAACTTTTATGTGAAAGATTTCGATGATACGAAATAGTAATACCAAAGAGACCTGTGATAATAAATAAGGTAAAACAGATCGAGAGTGCACCTCGATTCATTTGAAATGGTGCAAAAATGCAAAGAAAATGCAAAATGAAAAACGTAAACGCCACTTTTTTGTCTATTTCGGTCCATCTTTTCTTCCCAAATGACATTGGAGGCTTCACAATTCGCTTTGGGTCTCTTGATGCATCCATTAGAGTGGGGTTGCTCTAGTTGAGGAGGCTTCACCACCACCTGTTGCATATGTATTTATAGTGCAACTTTCAAGTCTCAATGTAAAAATTTAAGACTCTTCCAACTAATTGTATAGCTTATTTAAGTGCAATATACCTACTTCAAAATTATCAAATATGATCTTGATTATGATAAGATGGATAAATAAGTAGCTATGTATAATAATAATAATTTATTATACATTTAAACTAATTATTTTCACTTTTCAAAAAAAAAAAAACAAAAACAAAAAAGAAATATATCATATTGAACTATTAACTTTAGCATATCTTCGAATCGCGTTTGAATCGTTGAGTTGATTATAAAATGGGGGTTAATCCGTTGGTGTTTAGGGCATTGAGTTCTAACCTTGAAATTTAGGAAGTTATTGTTTGGGGAGCTAAGGTGGAGTTCTGTAATAGGAGTGCTTAATTGGATTGAATTTTGAAATTTGAGTTTCATAAGTCAAAATTAGAGAAACGTTTGAACTAATAACTATACACCAAAAGTTGTTAAAGAATTTCATAAAACGTTTGGTTCCATTTTTGGTTTGCAAATTTACAATTACAATCAAACTGATATTTGAATCAAAATCTTCATTGTATTGTATGAACAAGCTTTTACTCTTCAAGCTCAATATCACGCACAATCCCACCAGATCACTGGATTAAAATCATACCCATGTCGAAATCGAAATTTAAAAAGAAACCCGCTTGAAATTCTAGAGGGACAGAAGGAAACAACAAACAAAGAAGGAACTGCTCTTCTTAGAACGAATCAAAATCACTCATGTAATGGTCTAAGTCCATCACTAATTGATATTGTCTATTTTAGGTCTTTTCTTTCGTGTTTTTTAGGAACGTTTCTACAAACTTATAAAGGGTGCTTCGTTCTCCTCTTCAACCGATGTGGGATCTCACAATCCACTCCGTTCGGAGCCAGCATTCTCACTGATACTCGTTCTTTTATCCAATCGATGTAGGACCCTCCAATCCACATCCTTCAAAGCTAGTTTGTATGTTGTGGATTCGAGGGTCCACCAAAATAATCGAGGTGAGTTTTAGAGCAATAGATGCTGTGGACGATAGAGAAAACTAGTAAGTTGGAAACTAGAAATTGATGGAATTAGTTATTAAATGGGGAAGCTACCATGTTGGTGGACCAAAAGGATTTGGGTTCGAATAGTTTACCCAACTCCACCCAACCTAACCTTAGTGGTGGACCAAAAGACCGAATTAATTTTTGTAGGACCAAACAATGAGTTTGTGATACCATTTATGCCTATTAAAATAGCTATATTCATGGCGTCCATTAAGAATAATCAATGGTATATATGAAAAAAAAATTTAGTGTAACAATCTGACTTTGGATACGAAATACTTAATCTCTTTTTTATAAATTTGTTAATTAAGATAGATCAATATTTCACTAGATATTCTATCTTTAGTTTATGGTTGGATCATATATAAATTGTTAATTAAAAGATCAATGATATTTAAGGTGAAAGATGCAACTCTAGTAGTAAAACAGACTTTTGATCTAGTTGTAATTAGAATGATTATATCAATGAATAAAACTTGTCCTACAAGGTAGAATTTAATTAATTAATTTTGTTTCATTAGCGCTTATAATTCGCACGTCCATATGGTCCTCTTGTTTCCTCATAGTAACACTGTAAGAGCAATCACGAAGATATGATTGTTAAAAAATACTGAAAATAATTAAAAGTTATTATATATACTAAAACGATGTACATTCATTTTCAGTGGATCAGTCATAGTAACCAAAGTTAACCATGCCATGTTGGGTAATTCCTTAGGATTTTTCTTAAAATACATTCGAGTGAGGACAAACCATCATGGAAAGAGTTGTGTTGGTATGTGGGGATAGTCTTCACTCTTAGAATCGAGCAGTAAGTAACATGATCATGTTGCACGGGATATAGGAGAATGTCAAGGCTATCAAGTGCTGAATTTGGATTTGGATGATCTCTTGAAATTTTTTTTAGGATACATGTGAGTGAGAACAAAAAATATTAAAATGACTCGTATTAGTCTATAAAGAACGACATGGCTCAAGTGGCTCCTGCCACAAAGAATATAGAGACGAGAGACGTGTTGGGAGAAGAATAAAAAATCGAAAAAAAAAAGAAAAAGAAGAAAAAAGATTAACAAAGGGTGAGTTTGCTAAGGGAAGGTGTAGATAAGGGGAAAAAAGAAGGAAGAAAGAAAAATAAAACAGAGAAGGGAAACCATGCATAGCAATCACATCGCATAGCATTTACGTATTATTTCGTAACCGTCTACCTATACAGTCTATGACACGTGCGAAACAATGAGTACGTGTTATCATACAACATTCAATTCATAACCTAACGAAGTAGGTCCATTTACATGGTTGACCTTAGTTAGCATTCTCCCTAATTAGTTTACGTAAGCTCCCGCTCCTCAAAAGTATTCCAAACTATCACCGGTTGTCGTTTCCTGTTAGATCGTTTGTAGGAATACCTTTTAATAATGTTATAGGCCACCAGAGATTTAGTAGACTGGTCTTAATTGATCGAGAGCGAGCCTTACATACGTGTCCAAAAATTGAGATAAGCATATAATGAGTCAATCGTCTAAGCTTGAAGGAACTGGAATACCTTTTAATGAACAAAAGATCCTAGAAAACAAAACTAGAAGTCATTAGTGAATAAAACTTAAAAATGACAGGAAAGATGATTAATTAAAAATGGTAAAGTACAATTGAGTAACTTAATTACTCATCGAAATTATTTTAATTTTTCTTTTCAGATAGGCAAATGTTAAGTGATCGGGACAATGAAGTAGCTGAGTTAGAGACGAAAGAGAATCTTATTTAGGTCGGAGTCTATTTTTTTAGTACATTTACTTTTGTTCTTTCTGAACTCATAAAGGGTGTTTTGAGTAGGTACAGTATTATATAGTTTTATGTTTATGGAATGTAACTATGTTGTGCACTTGTTTTACTCGATTTAAAGTAAATATTTATGTTTTATGGTTTTATTTTGAAAATAAATTATCTGCATCAATAGTAACATTCACGATTCGACTTTCGATGAAGGAACGTTGCATGAGGGAATAATCTTCACTATTAAAAGCGAGAAGTAACATGACTGAGCCATCAAGATCCTAGGCATGAGATATTACGTGAAAAGTTAAAATTAATATTTAATATATCTAATTAGAATCTCACACTTTCTATTCTTTACTATGAGCCAAATTAGCATCTCATACTTTATATTATTTTAAGTTTTAACTTCGATTTTTCTTTAGATCCGTGCACAAATGTCATAGTTAAGAATGTTTTATGTTTTTTTAAGAAGAATTTTGTACAACTTTACTAATTCTGATTAATTAGTTATTATGGGAAGAATATAAATTATAAAATATATTTTAGATATTTGTAATAAGTTAATATTTTTATGCCTATCATTCATGAGTTGATTTGATTAGTAATATATTTTATTTTATTTCCAAGATTAGTTAGTTTATATTTTAATTGTTGGTAAGTATTAGTTGATAGCTTGTATGAACATCAATGAAGATTAAACCTTTTATCTCAATTCTATTTCTCATTCTTAATTTTCTATTATTGGTAGATCTATTCACACTTTCGAATAGTAGATATTGTGTCAAATAAATTTTGGTAAAGAAGAAAGTTATTTTTGGAAGTAATATTATTTCCACGTAAAACATGATCCTTTTACTTAATCTTTAGCCAACTTTTGCATATGGGTTTGAGATGGCAATCTGACATGAGTAGCCACTCCAATTGCTTCAAGGAACCTAATAACATACCAACCAGGGTCATATTCCCACCATTCAATGCCAATCCTAGCTGAATACTCAAAAGCATGGTGATTACTGTGCCAACCTTCTCCAAATAGAAGCAAATTCACCACCCTGTGGAGGAAAACACAAATATATGATAATAAATATCACAATATAGTTCTATTGTTTATATAAACATTATTATTCCATAATCATTTAATAATAACAAGTCTATAAATTGCAATAATGGAACAACTAATTATATCTGTAATTTTGATACGTGCTTCGCTACTTGCATAATTTAGTGGATAAGACACTAATCACATTCTTAAAAGTCGATGGTAATATTGAACTCAAAGTACAAAAGGAAAATATTATTGAGATGAAATAACAGTTTATGTAATAAATAAGTTTCATCATATTTTACTCAAAATTGAGATTGGCCAAGATACATACCAATTGTTTCTAGATAAGTTGATTGTTTTCCATGGTTGTTTTCCCCACATAAAATCATTACCGTTCTCACACACTGTTCAACAACAAGAATAATTTGTCATATTTTTTAAAACTATATATGCTTTTAATTGAGTAATTAATTTCCATAAATATAAAGCTAAAAAAGTAAAGTTATTTGTCACCGTTCCCCAAATGAAGAAAGGAGTGCCTCCAATGCTATAAAGTATGGCTGCAAGAGCAATTGGATGAAATATATATGTTTTGCGAAGAAACTTATAGAATGTTTGCTTCTCCAAATCGCCAACGTTATCCAATTTCCGATCACTCTTATGAAGAAACCAAGTAAGATGACTAAACCAAAATCCATTAATTGGACTATGTGAGTCTTTTTCGGTATCAACAAATTGATGATGACATCTATGCGTACTCACCCAATAGATTGGATCACCCTATTCTAAAAAAAAACATAAATCTTGGTAAACTTTAGGTTCGATCAAATTATATTTAAATTCGTCTTTGTATCTAATTTGAAATGCATTAAATACCAAACCTGAAATGCATGGAGTCCACAGTAAGCAAACAAGTATTCAAGCCATTTAGGAAGTTTAAAACTCTTATGTGAAAGATTTCAATGATACGAAATCGTAATGCCGAAGAGACCCGTGATAATATATAAAGTAAAACAAATTGAAAGTGCACCTGAATGGATTTGAGAGGGTCCAAAAATAAGCCAATTTTTTTTT